TGAAAAAAATAACTAGAAGACTTCAACAAAAACAAAATATGGCACTTGCTTTTTCTGTACTTGTAAATTTTCATCTTTTCAGAAAAGGATGCCTTATTTTGGTCAGGAATTGTTATTCATCAGAAGTGCCAGCAATAACTATAATTAACTAAAACTATTGTAGAAATATTTATACCAAAGTAAGAAAGAAAACAAGAATTAATTATAATGTTTCATTTAATGAGAGTGAAGTGAGGAAGAGATTTACTATATAAATAAGGGCTCAAAAGCATTAGCAGAATTCCTTTCCTTTTTAAAGTTTCTTTAATTGCAAATGAGATTTTCATCTTGGTCAAATTGGCTGAATATTGACTGAGAAAGCATAACCAATACACCTGTGATAACTATAGTTATTACAATTGTAGCATAAGATAATTAGATCACTGGAAAAAAAATCCTCTTCCTACTTGGATATGCAGGGTGTTTGTGTGTATGTGTATGTGTGAGATGCAGAATAACAGAGTGATTAAGAAGCAAGACGGGAGCAAGTCGGCCTGGTTTTGCATCTTGGTTTTTTGAGCTATGGCATTTTGGGCATGTGACTTAACGTTTCTATGCATCACTTTCTTCCTCTCTAATGAATCAATGCATCTAAAACACTAAGCTTGCCTCAAAGTAACAGCTATGTATACGTGTTTATTTTTTACCAGTCTCCTCCCATCCAGAGATGAAAATTCAGCCAACTGAATTGTTTATTTCACCTTGAAAATTCTTCAAGACTTGAATGTAGATGTAAGCATATGACTGAAATATAAAAATAGACTCTGAAATTAAGTATAAGTTGTTCATAGAAATGAAGAAACAACTAAATGTATCTTAAGAATAATTGAACACCGTCTGAATCCTTTTAGTTGATCAGAATTGCCACACAAATGCAGGTGTATTTTCTGACATCCAGAGGTTGGTAAATACATGCTCAATTAGGCTTCCACATGCAAGTATGTGGTAGTCCAATCAAATATGCCACTAGAATAACTAGTTCTACTTTTTAAGTGTTCAATGAGTCTAGTTTCCAGAGGACAACTAGAATAAAGGTACCTAAGATTTTGTTTCTACTCTATTTAGTGTTGTCTCTATCTAAACTATTAATGATAGAAACTAAACTATACTAGGTTTAAACAGAAGTGCATCTGCTTCTTAGTTTATTGAGATTAGTATTTTCACACTCTATGTCATGTATCACATGCAAATATCAAGATACATCAATGTAAGTCATCAGACATTTGAAGAACCACAAGCTCTCATTGTGATTAAACACTGCCAAGTCACTTTCTCAACTTATCAACTTAGAGTGCCACATTTTGTTGCTTTCCTGCATACTGGAAGAAAATTCGCTGACTCACAAATGCTGCTTAAGATCAAGTAATTAATATTCATATTTTCTTATTTAATTTTAAAAAATCTCAATCTCACATGACAGTAATGGTAGTAATAATAATCACAATTGTTAATATATCATAACATTTTAAAATGCTTTCTACATGCTGACACTGTTCAAAGCACTTTGCACGTATAATATCATCTGACCCTCAATTGAACTCTGTGAGGAGTATACTATTATAATCCTCATTTATACATGAGAAAACTGAAGCTCATAGAATTTATTTTTAACCTTGCGTAGAGACCCCATAGAAAACTGTGTATCTGAAATTCAAAGCCAACAGGCAGTTGGGTGCCAGGACCCACAATATCCTATGTTATACTGTCTCTATGAAGTAGTTTCCAAATTTGATTTTGGGCAAATACAGAACTGCTTTTGGGGAAGCTGTATTGTGTGTGTGTGTGTGTGTGTGTGTGTGTGTGTGTGTGTTGGGAAGGCTGTGACTACTACCTCCTCCTTGAGGCATTCCCTTTCAAAAACAGTTTGAAAATCTCTAGTCTAGCTTATCTGAACTTGTCCAGGAAGTTTCTGTTGCTAATGCTGTTTTCACAACTTCAGAGTTTTCTGATCTTCACCAAAAATCATGAAGGTAAAACCTAAAAAAATGCTATTCGCAGATATTTGTACTCCTAGAGCCACTATGAAGACACAGTACTTAACTAACTTGTTCTGGGGAATGACGAGAACTTCTCAGCTGTGCAAAGTCAGAAGATATCATTCTACTGTGTTCTTCATGCAGCTTGGTGACCACTGATATCCAACCCAAAATGAGGTGGAGAATTCAATTTTAAAGGCAGATGCCAAGGTGGAAAACAAGTGGAATCCTGACCAGACTAAAGGTTCAGAAAATAGTATGGTTTTTGAAACCCTCAGGTGTTCCTAGGCCTACTATATAGTCACACCTAGATTTTTGAGCTGATCTATTAATTTCATCTTTGAACCCTCAAGTCAGCTGGATGGGCTTCATAACCATATTACAGTTTCAACATATAGACCAATTGATGAAATCTAAAATATTGCTGCAGAGAACACTGTCATATTAGATTATGCTGGTGTCAAGAACTGAGGACATCCAAACAGGGTTCTGAGTAGAAATCTCCGTTTTCTAAGCAGTGAGGGTCCAGTGTTCCTGGGAAGTTTATCTAAACTGGGCAAGCACATTAGCATCTCTTTGTGCACAATTGTATTGAAATGTAAGAAACTAGAAGATGAACATTGGAAATCATAAAGTCCAAGTTTTAGATTTAGATAGGTGACCTCATTCAAACAGATTAACTTCTGGCTTCAGTTTCTTTATTTGAAAATTAACAATAGGTGTCAAAGATATCTGAAATAAGTATGAGCTATAATATTAAGCAACAGAACAGCCTGACAGTTTTGTTTTAGTAATAATCTCATATAAAAAGTTACTTTCTTCTTTGCAGCAAATAGAATTCCTTATAGCAAATTAGGCACTTAGGGAAACAGTTAATTCCTCCAGACCATTAGGCTCATTCGCAGCTTTGCCTGGAGTAAAGAAAGGGTATGAGAGAAACAATGAAAGATTATTCATCAAATTTATTACCCTTGACTATGCCCTGAGGACTAGATATTAATTAGATTACTAATAAGTTTTATTAGAGACTTATATGCTGATAATGTCCTACTTTATTTTTTGCAAAATGGAAGCTTTCTGAGGATAGGTTTTACTCTGGCTTACCCAAAGGAATGCAACAGCATCAATTAAAGTTGGTTATTACACTGCATTATAGTAAATGGTGAAAGAGAATTAAGAAAAAGCCTTTTAGAAATAGTTAACCTAAATATGAGTTTTGCATTTTATTTTTAAAGGTTTTTGGAATTGAGTAGTGAAATAACATCAAATCATTTAAATAAGGAAATACATGCTCCTTTCTTAATTTGCAGTTGTGCTGAATATTTCTATAACTCATTGTTATTCACTTTAGCGACATTCACAGGAAGGAAATTTCCCTAACTAGATCCTACAGAAGCATTTTTCTCTTGAGCACTGTCATTTGACCTCCCTGGAAACCAAGAGGATATTTGCCAAGTATACGCACTTGGTATTTTAAGAATTTATTTAGTAGAAAAACTTGGTAGGTTTCAGAAATGCAATATCTTAAGTCAAATTCTGACTGTGACATTGACACTCTTGATACCTACAAATGACCGTAATATCATTTCAAATCCAAGAATAACAAAGACAAGTCATGGAATAAAGCACGCTGCAACTCACATTTCCCACATGAACACAATTGCATTCTCACAAAAGAGGCTCTTTTCCCTTTTATATTTCCATGTTGTCTGGGTTACAATTCACTGTCCTTAAAATATAAGTTCAGACAGACACCCCTGTGTGTTTTGAAATGCATAGGGGCATGATAAACTGCACATTTCTAGTCATCATACTCAGAGATGCTGATTCAGCTGTTCTTTGATAAGATTGAGGGGTCTTTTTCTTACGCACCCTGCGTGATTCTGATTCAAGGAGGTCCAAGGACCACCTCTTGAGAAAAATAGTTTTATTTGATAAATCCAGAAGGAGCTAGAGCAGGTGTGATCCTGTTTAAATACGAAAAGTTAAAAATCCACGTTCTGGTTAACATCTCTCAGAAACCATTAGGCTAGTCCCAATGGATAATGCTTGAAACTCTCATGTGAGCAAAAGGCACTGCATGCTAACTTTTTTCAATTATAAATAAAAATCAGCTGGGTGTTGAATACTTTATGACTTCTTGCAAAGCTGAATTTGAAAACATCAAGCCTGTGCCATTCCAGCCCACACGTGGACAGCTGCCATGCACGCATATTCGTTACTTTTTTGGAGATTATCTCCACATGCTGTATTATGTGGCTTTCCACATTAGCAAGTAACGTGAAACACAATCAATATCACAGAGGCCACAACACAATTAAAGACAAAGATGAGGCATCCATAGCTTGCTGGTACAGAAACCTGAAGGGAATAAGATATTGTCTGCCCTGTACTTATGGAAGCCTATTTTGGCCAGAAATAAAGATAAATCTGATAGTTATTGACTTACTAGAGGTCCTTCAGAAATACTCAACTTTCCAATTAAGATTGTAATCGATAATGAAACTTAAGAAATCAAATTCATAAAAATGGTTATATTTTACAAGTCAGCTGGATGAGAATGTTGAAAGTATAAGATTCCTTTGAGAGGAATTTAATTACCTTACAAGGAGATAGTGTATGAGCATTTCTTACACTGGGACTCTACATATCAGGTTTTGAATTTTCAATGTATTTCCATTGAGCAAAATAAAAAATATTCATTTGGTAAGAATTTTTATCCCGAATTTCATATGCCTCCTTTCCCCAAATGATCCAACTGAACAGATCCTAAATTTATGCAGTATTAGACCAAAAATGAAACAAACAAACAAAAATCTTCAAAGTGATATCTGATAGCCCAAATCTGAGTAATATTTTTGCTAATGATAAGTCCTTTTCATTGATGAATTTTTTTCACCCATTAATTTCTTATTCCCTTCAGGTTTTACTAATGTGGATTGTAACATTTCATACTTCATTCCTTAAAAGAAACCCTACACGCACCTCCTGTGTGTTCTGGTTCCCAGGTGCCTTCACCAGATGGGGGCTGCTGTAATGAGAAAACTCTGCTCTCTGGTGGCCTCAAGGTAGACACTAGTCTGTGGAATTTGTGAATTCTGTCTCTGACAAGAATAGCATCACCCCTCTCATGTTCTGCACCCTCTCTGGCATCAGACAGACCAAGATCCTTTTTTTGGACTACATTTGCAATCTCAGCTACCAGGTCTGACTCTGATTCTGCCTTTTCTGTAGGATTATATTTGTGCACATGAACAACATCTTCCCTTTCTCCTAGCAGCTTGGAAAGTAGTGAATAGAAATCACCTGTGGAAAAAAGAGAAGAGATAAGGGCGTGGAGCGTAGATAAGATTGCAAAATTTACAAAGTTTGGTGCTTTTAAAAATATCTACTTGTTTCTCATAATAAATATGAGAGAAGTTTGCACTCAGACTTTCAAACACAGGGAGAAAAAAAGAGAAAAACTCCTAGACCACTGAAACACTTTAGTTCATATATCATCTATGTCTTTCTGTTATAACATCTATTGACATGTTAGTAGAAAAAATAATGCTTATTTAATTGCATGGCACATTTCAATAAATGGTTTTCACACTATAGTTTAATTGATATGGAAATTAAGAGCTCATCAGATTTCTAAAATAAAATATCATCGGTCACTACATTAGATAACAGTTATCTGCACAAGAAACTCTTTGCAGTTGTCTTTAAAAACCTATTAAAGTATAAGCCCCAAGAAATGAAATATACATTTCATGAGCAGGAAATATACATTTCCTGTAAAACATAAATAAATATGTATCCATTTGACAACTGGGAAACCTAAATTTTCTTACTATTTTGTTAGCAGGGCTATTGTAAGTAGCTGCAGTTGTTCTTCTTAAACAAAAAAAATGAGCAAATGAGAAAAATAATTTTTTGAGCAAAGAATACTTTTAATTCAGTTTCAAACAAAGGAAAAGATTTTAATAAAGTGATATTAGGGTGATTCATCACTAAAATGTATTTATGCCTTCCTGTAAGGAGTAAATTTGGATATGAGACTCCAATTCCATGAAAGCAAATTATTTATAAAATATTATCACATATACAAAACATAACCACAGAAAGTTCGTCAAGTATTTTAACCCTCATCATTTCCATGATGGCTTCAAATCCATTTGTATCCTCCATATTCTCAATGGAAACACAAACCTGCTCTCCTACACCAAACCCAAAAGCCACCACCAGTTCTTCCTTTTCCCCATCCTATACTAAGTGCTGCAAATGAAGAAATTACTTACGACTATGGAGTCCTGTTGCTTACATTTTAATTACATTTACAGCACCATTGGAAAACATTTATAAACCCGCTTTTCATGACCATTAGGAAATGAAGGTGATAACTGGTTTAGCCATGATATATTTCACCGAAGAATATTACTAAGAAACTGGTGCAAGGGGAGATGAAGTCTTTCCAAAACGAAGCTAAGAGATTCTGTCATGTTTACAAATAGTCCTGGTTTAATGTTTCAAAGTAGATTTTCAATTCTTGCCAGTGAAATCGGCTTATCCCAGGTGAAATCTTCAATCAGAAAATAATTACCAAGTAATAGGGCCAATCTCAGTAAAATGAACAAAGCAAATTGTGAGTCAAGCAAATCTGTTAGGGCATAGTGGCATTCTGCCTTACAGAAGAAAAATTAATACAGTACATTATTGCTAAATTCTGATGAACCATATATTAAATATAAATAGTTTCATATGCTTGTACAGTGAAATGTCTTATTTAGGAAATAAAATACAAGAGTATTTCAGGGAGAGATAAGCCGTAATTTAAAAACTTGAGGCTGGGAGTGGAGGTTTACTTCTGTAATCCCAGCACTTCGGGAGGCCCACGCAGGAGGATTGCTTGAGCCCAAGAGTTCAAGCCAGTCTGGGCAACAGAGTGAGACCCCTTCTCTTCAAGAAATAAAAAAAAAAAATTAGCTGAGTGTGGTGGCATTCAATTATAGTCCTCAACACTTGGGAGGCTAAAGTGGGAGGACTGCTGGAGCTCAGGATTTCAAGGCTGCAATGAGCTATGATCATGTCACTGTACTCCACGTGAGTGACGGAGACAGACCCATCTCAAAAAAAATTAAATTAAATTAAAACTTGAATCCATATGTTTATGCTACTATTATTATTATTATTGAGACAGGGTCTCTCCTTCTTTTGCTCAGGCTAAAGGGCAGTGGCATGATCTTGGCTCACTGCAATCTCCGTATAGGCTAGTCTTGATGGAGGAAGACAGGTTCAGAATGAGGCATAGTTATTCAGGTTTGTAAGTAGAAATCTAAAAGCTGTGATAAAATACCAAAGGTAGAACACTCCAGTTCATGTGAATTTATCATTTAAGATTGTTGTTGGGTTAGGAAAGCAAAATTGTTAAAATAATGTAATAGGCTTGGCTGCATGCAGTTGCACAGACCTTGCCAGGATAAAGTTTCAGAGCAGAATCTCTACAAACATCTCGTTACACGTGAGAGAGACCACTAGATGGCTATCTCTTACATTCCTATGCACAAACCAGAAAGTTTTTCCTCTTCTGGTGTACTCAATATAATATGGAATCTTGAAATGTTAATCAATTTTCTTAGTCACATTAAGATGTTTATTTAGAAAATATATCTAATGAATATAACAGATGGAGCAGAACATAAATAAAGCAAGTTGGGTGGTCCTGACCCCTGTAACATCTCTCAACATTTCCTCTTTCTTTTTGGTTTATGTTCCACCCATACTGACTTTTCACTTTCTTGAATACCAACTCTTTTGGGTGCATCTATAGCACTCTGGCCTTTCCCTACATGGCACTGCTCAATTCAAATACACATCGAACCCTATTTTGTAGCTACTCTGTGGCTTTAAGTAAATTCTACTTAACGTAACAAAGATAGTGACAACAACCTTTAGAAATTATTTTGTAGATTTAAAGACAGTTAATATTAAAATTCCCAGTCCAGTGCATATCATAAAGTAAGTGTCATTAAATTTTAGCTATTATAATTACTAACTAAAAAAAACAAACTCCAAGTGCAACATGCATCTGCTTCAACCTGTGGTTTATCTAATATTTTAAAAATCAGCTCCTTTTTCCTAGTCAAGCAATGGGATTTTCATCATAGAAAACAAAAAGTACTTTTAGGGCCATGTGTGGTGGTTCTTGCCTATAATTCCAGCACTTTGAGGCTGAGGTGGGCGGATTACTTGAGGTTAGGAATTTTAGATCAGCCTAGGCTACATGGTGAAACCCCATCTCTACTAAAAATAGAAAAATTATCTGGGTACGGTAGTTGGTACCTGTAATCCCAGCTATTTAGGAAGCTGAGGCACGAGAATTGTTTGAACCTGGGAGGTGAAGGTTACAGTGAGCCGAGATCATGCCACTCTACCCTGGGAGACAGAGGGAGACTCCATCTCAAAAAAAAAAAAAGCCCTTTTAGTATTCTAGCCCTCTATTTTCTTAATAAGTCACTGTGGCTACCACAGCTAATCGATTCCTGGCTTTGCCAAAGGAGGCTGCATCTGTACTTTCTCCATTTCTTTTAGCATATTTTTGGAAAAAGAACTCGCCCTACTCCACTGTTCTGAATGCCAGTTCTCCAGCACCCTCTAAAGCCTCTCCTGTCTTTTCTCTTTTCTTTTCTATTAATAAATACAACTTCTTTACCTCATATCTGACTCATAGGCTATACATACGCTCACTTGGGGCTTGAGTTGCGGAGGTGGGGAGAGACCCTTTTCTGACATAACATATCCTTCAGCCTTTTCCATCTTCTCTCTTCCTTTACAGGCTCCAATGCTATCCAAAAGGACTTTCTGTGATAGTGGATGTAATATATGTCTGCGCTGTCCAACCTAATAGCTGCTTGACAGACACATGGGGCTGACTGAGTACTTGTAAGTGGCTAGTGGATCTGAGAAATTTAATTTTTAATTTCTTACTTTGAACTAATTTATATTCAAAATATAAATATTTTTGCCTAGTATCTACCATATTGGATGGTGCAGGGCTACTTGCTGATTCATTCTTCCTTACATCCTTTTCCCTCCCTAAATTGGATGCATTTCTTTCTACTTCCTATTTCACCGCTGTATGGCTTCTCCAAGAGGTAAGGGATCTTAATTGCCAATGCTAATAGACTCTTTATTTTGATCTATTGGGAGCCTGTAGCCCTGCTGAAAGTTCCCTTCAGAACCTCTCTCCTTATTATGTTGTTCTTTACAGGTCTTCTCCACTTACTATCTGTACTTCCTCTTTTTTTCTGTCCATCATGTAAAAAAGGCTGGTGATTCACAAAGCCTGTCCCTGACACATTTGTTCCCCTGATAAAGCCTCTTCCTATTAAGTGATCTCAGTCACTTACAAAGCTTAAGCTACCACCTCCAGGCACACAACTATCAATCCTAGAGCTCTCCTAACACCAAACTGGTAATATAAAACTGCCTTCTGGAAAATCCCACTTGGATGGCTGTCTCATAGGCATTTTCAACTGAAAACATCTAAAATGCAGCTCTTTATCTTCTCATCATATTTTAACCCTTTAATAGTATCTCTCTTAATGATGACACTATTTTGAGTCAATCAACTAAGAAAACTGTATTCATCCCTCCCTTACCAGTGAATCGCAAAGTCCAACCTATGCTGATTTGTCAACATCAACTTTTCTTCCCTTAGCACCAGTATTCATTTGGGAATCTTGTCCTTTGATTGTCATAGTGAAAGACTCTTCTTCCTCAGAAGAGACATCCTCCATCCCTGCTCTGGACAACAAAATCTATTCAGAATGATATCATAAAAGTCACTCTACCTCTATGGAACTGATGTGTGATAGATGGCACCCCACTTGCCTTGGAGACTCCTAGGTTATATCCCCATAGCTACCTTTTCCGTAGCTCTTTCCAGCTATATATTTTGGGGTGGTATTTTCCTTTTGCTTTCCACTCAACTAACTTGATTTGTGGCTTTTTAAAAAATTGTTATACTTAAAGTTCTGGGGTACATGTGCAGAATGTGCACATTTGTTACATAGGTATACACATGTCATGGTGGTTTGCTGCACCTATCAACCCATCATCTACATTACGTATTTCTCCTAATGCTATTCCTCTCCTAGTCCCCCATCCCTCGACAGGCCCCAGTGTGTGATGTTCCTCTCCCTGTGTTCATGTGCTCTCATTGTTCAGCTCCCACTTATGAGTAGAACATGTGGTGTTTGGTTTTTCTGTTCCAGAGTTAGTCTGCTGAGATGGATGGTTTCCAGCTTCATTCATATCCCTGC